TAAGAGCATAGGATCCCAGCTTGATCCCACAAAACCTTACTGTTCAGGGGGAAGGAGATGGGGGAGAACGCGGAGTTGTGTTTGAAGTTCAGTCGTAAAATCATAATTTGCCAAGTGGCTCATTCCCCAAATGCCCATGAGCTTCCTTGTTAACTTCTGTGTCACTTTTTGCCCACCCTTGAATGACCAGGTGATGCAAAGCTCATGCCTGCAGTGGTTGTTGCACACATCGGGGCAGTCAGTGCGGAGAGAGGAGGGGGAGAGAGAAAAATGTGGGATTCCACCTGTGTTTTTGGAAATGATGAGACGGAAGCTCTGTGGGACAGGAGGCTGCACCCAATAGGTGCTTCACTCCCTGCCATTAGGGAAGGATAAATGATGACCCTATTTGGCACTGTGTTAAGAGGTAGCACTGGGAGAAAGAGCACCAGACTGGGTTCAGCTCAGCTGCTCTTGGCACAGACCTTGTTTATCCTGTTTGCTCTGTCTCTCAGAGCATCATTCACTCCATCCCCAGACACATGCTCTTACGATAATTTCTGTAATTCTATTAGCTTGGAGGAAATAGGCTTTACTGTCCATTTGATTTTATTTCTTTTTTCCAGAGAACCCGGCTGCTTGGTCTTTTAGGTTAACCCTTTGTGGATACTTTTTTTTTTTTGCCTTTCCAGGGCATTGAGACTAGATGTTTCCCCTTTCTGCCTTCTTGGTTTCCATGTTATAAGCAGCATTATAACCAAGATTTTTGTTTGTTTCTTTTTAGTCCCAACTAGAAATGAGCTAAAGCTTCAAAGATCAGATCATAACCCACATTCCCCAAAAGTCATTGCTTAAACCTGAATAATTTGGAAACATCTGATCTGCAGAGGCAGCAAAGAGCCATTGCATCAAGAGATACAGGTATTTTAGCTTAATTTGTCTAGTTACTGAAATTTTCAGTGGTGTTTGTATGCGCAGGTATTTTGTTTCTAACATCACATGCTGGAGCTCATGGTGAAATCAGCTCAGTTTTGTGGCAGGATTATTTTTGTGGCTAGAGAGAGTGATAAGAACACATCACCATGACTGCATTGCAGAACTACATAGAAGAAGAATTTGTATGGGTATGAGGAAGCTGATCTACCCAAGAAGATCTGCAGTAACAAACTACGTAGACTTTTTTTTTTTTTTATAAACACACCACTTTTAGTGGTGTTTTGCTTTGTTAAGATCAAATCTTAATCGACTCAGGTGATGAGGAAAAGAATAGTTTCCCACCTTTGTCTGGGGTATTGATGCTCCCTCTATAAAAAGCCAACATTGCTGGTCTTTCTGTTGTGCTGTGGCTGCAGGGGTGCAGAAACGGTCCCAAACAAACTCACCTGGATGCAGATGGTATGGGTGTGCGGTAGTATGGGCACATCTATGTGTTCTGACGAAGACAGGATTGGTCAGGGTTCAAGAGTTCTGTAGTGGTAGGGAATGGAGAGGGAGCCAATGGAGGCTTTTCCTCATTAGTAGGGAAGCAAAGGCTGGTTGCACACTGCTATTGAAAATCAATTTTAGTGAAAAATACATTTTGAATGACCACTTTTCTTCTTTCTTAATGAAAAGCATTACTGTAAAAACCCTGAAAAGTGGAAATGTTGAAGTTGATTTTGTGTAATGAACTGAGACCTTATCCTATTCATATTACCCTGCAAGATGACGTTTTTAATGTTTCCTTTTCTCCAGAAATCTTTCATTTTTGAAATTTTGCCAAAAAATCAAAGCAGAAAACTCTACAATTCTTTGACAAGTTAAACTGGGAACAGTTCTATGTATTACGTAGGTGGAGCTACTGAGGGTTAGGCAAAAATAGCATTCCCATTTTGAAAGCACAGTTTTAGGAGGTCAGATTTTTCAAAATTTTAGGACTTTGGATGAAATTTTTCATTCTGAAGCTTGGTATGGATTGAATTATTTCTGGAAGCTTTAAAAAAATTACAGTGGTGGTTTTCAAGAACATAACTAGAGAAAAGTATGTTGCTTCACTCGTGATTATAAAGGGAATAAGGTGGCCACAGTGTATGGAAAGTTCCAGAGCCCACTATTTCCTGGATTAGGAGCTCTAGTTCTGCAGGGATCTCCCTGGGGCCAGTGCTGTGCCTTTTGAAAGCATTTTCTGGCTTTGTCAAGTCTGAGGCCTCCATCTGCCTGTGCTCTGTGTTAGCTGCTAGCTGAGCTGCCAAATCCTTTCTAAAACTTTTGTCTGTGCTGGGGATAATTCAGCTGAAGGCTGCAGTTACGGAGCCAAGCATCATCAGTCATTACTGCTCACAAAGATAAGGCCAACTGTGAGATGGGAGTACTGGAGGCTTCATTTCAGTTACTTTCAGGCAGTGAGGGGGAGGAGAAGAGGAAGAAGAAGAAGGGACTGGGGGAGGAGTAATGATTGGTAGGAGGGTGAGAGGGGGACAGAGCCAAAAGTGTTGTTGGTGCTGGGTGAAAAGAGCAAAGAGAAGGGGGTCTCTGCTCTGCACAGGCCCAGCGTTAGTTGGGTGGATTGCAGGGTCCGCGGCTGACTTGCTGCTTGGCTGTGTGAGTCCTTCTCTCTTCTGCCCTGTAGAGTGTGTAGTAGCTCACAAGAGAGTTTCTGTTAGTTGGGTGGATTGCAGGGTCCACGGCTGTCTTGCCGCTTGGCTGGGTGAGTCCTTCTCTCTTCTGCCCTGCAAGAGTGTGTAGTAGCTCACAAGAGAGTTTCAGTCTGTGCTAAGGTCTGTGCTGCCTCTTCACTGTTCAGGGTTATTGTGGGACTTAAAGGGGCTTCACCTTTACACTGTCTGTGTGGTGCTGGCAGCTGCTCTGGCTTCCCTCTGGCTTCTCTGTAAGCAGAAAAAGCTGCTTCACAGCTGGGGCAGCGTATGCACATGTGCTTGTGATGTTCTGTGCCATGTCAGCTCCCAACAAATAACCTAACATAGAGGAACATCTCCCTGCATGGGTGAAGGCACCCCTCTGGTCCCGGGGGGCTGCCTGTGCCCCATCTCATCTCACAGCTGTTGTTTCAGTTGCCTGCAGAGAAATAGCTCTGCTGTCTAGGTTTGAGAAGGAGAAGACAGCATTTGAGACCAGGAAGGTTTGACCCTTTTAAACTTTACACCTCCCATCAGTCACCAGGGGAAATGTCCAGAACGGTTAAGGTTTGGGAGACGACCACAGCATTGCCACCCTCTCTCAGAGGAAGATGTGGCAGCTTCTGTGGTCACAAGGCACGCCTGCATTAATAGGACTGTCCTGCAGTCATCCTTCACCTTCTTGCCCTGTCTTTGGCAACGGACACAGTTGCAGTGCATAGAGGAAGGGGAATGGAAGGGAGGATGACAGTTACAACCATTCCTTCTTCTAGCATAGGAGGTTAAGGGAGATGCTGCTGCTCGCATCTCCTCACCCACCTCACTTCTGATACTTTTTCGTTGTATCTTTCCTAAGCTGCCACGCACCAGTCGATGCTGCAGTGCTCAGGCCCCTGGGGAGAGCCCTTCAGTGCTCAGAGGTGGGGGAGTGGAGTGGGGGTGTTTGTGGCAGCAGTGCTGGGGATTTCAGCACCTGGGCAGGGAGGGAGTGAACATAGGAATCAGCAATGGTCCCAGAGTTGCTCTGAGCAATTGGAAAGGTGTTGGTGTAGCTGTTTTGGCATTTCTAAATCTATGTAGTTATCTGTAGGGGTCTGGGAATGGTGATCTAGGTAGAGCTGTAGCTCAGTTTTGATGAGGGCAAATGGAGTCGGAGCTGTCTCCATCTGTGGCTTGTTGAAGAATACAGGTTTAGGTGTCAGCTAATCCTCCCCTGGGACAGGTAAGCCTCAAATCACCTTCACGAGTAGTAGTGGATTCTAACAGTTTGTTCACCAGTCATTAGTTGTACTTATCAATGGTGATAAAATTGTTATGTTCTGACAACACCCCAAGGAAAAGCTGAGATTGGTTTAGCTTGAAAAATGCCAGGACTCCACTTTTCTTTTTGCAGATTACAAGCTACCTGGAACAAAGTGTGGTGGGATTGTCCTGTGACAGGAGTCTATGGCCTTGATCTGTCCTTTGTCGAAGACTTTAAGACTGCATATGTGTTACGTGCTTTCCTAGCTAATTTGTGGAGGATTATACTTAAATCTGCATTAAAATCTCCCCAGGAAAACATGCAGATCTGTTTGTTCTCAGGTGTTTTCTCCTCATTCTAGCTGCCTTTCACAGTTGTCTTCTCTAGATGCTTTCATGTGCTCTTAGCCTTAGATTCAGTAAAGTTTGTATGAACCCCAGTTACATGAGCTGTTAAAGTTGCAGGAACATTTCAGGACTAAATCTATATAAATGAAAATTTTACATTTTATTTATATTTCATCATCGAACAGAGTATATACATGTTTGTTTATCATATATTAAATTGGCCTCTGTTAATCAATCAGCTATCAGAGATGGAAAGGTGAGAAACCTATTAGTGGTTACCTCAGAAGTATGTCTCTGTTTCTCAGTTCAGTTTTAAATATCATACTGAAACAGCTAAACAGTGATTCTACCTGTAAAGTGCTTTGTAAATCAGACACAAATAGTTTCAATGCATTTGAAGGAAATAAATTTCGTAGCAATACCTTCTTTGTAATAAGGTAATTGCAGTATTCTAAGGAAAGAAAGTGTCCTTCCTGAGGCAAAGTATGCAAAATACTTTTTAAATAATAATCTTTTTGAGCCAGGATGGCATATTGTACAGTAAAAACCTTTCTCTGTAATGTTCAGTCTTCAAATAATTGAAAAAAGGGTCAAGATATCACCAGAAGTGCTGAACTCATTGCAAAAAATAATATTTTTCTGTTTGTTATGGGTTTTTTTCCCCTATCACAATAAGTCAAGTTCTACTTTCCATTTCCCTACTCTAAATCTGACGTAAGAGCAACTCAGTTGGCATCTCTGTGGATTTAACAGAGGGGAACTGAGAGCAGAATGAGACCAAATATCTATGTAAATACTGACAATTTTAAATTACAATTAAGGGTTCATGGCAGCAGTGTGGTTTTGAAAAAGTGGCTGCAGAAATAATCCAACAGTTCCCAGGACACAAACAAGGACGAATATCCAGAGAAACAGCCTGTCCACTACCATGGCAACATACTTCCAATCTTCAATGACCTGGAAGAAAAAGCCAATTAAAGATATTAGCAATTAGTCATATTCTTTTGCTCTTCCTCTTGCTAATGCCAAGCTTTTGTTTACAAAAATAAAAGGAAACAAATATCAAGGTTCAGGGAATAAACTGACTTTAGGTTTGGGAAGGGATTTTTCTCCTGCAACCATTCTGGGCAGTGGAGAAAAATATTGTAAATATTTCTTAGCTGTCTTAGATGCATCAGGTACTGAGCGTGGCTGCTTGCTGGAAGCCAGTCCAGAAGGACCCACAGTATAATCCAATTAAGGATTTTTTTTCTTTCATTTTAGTTTGCAGATGCTATTAATCTCAGTGTACAAAAATAGATGGTGTTTACTGCTGTTAAACAAGATTAGCTTCAGAGTTCTTATCAGCAGTCATCTTAATCAAGGGTTTTAATGCATATTAATACGGTTGCTTTTATTAAAATCCCTTTTTCCTTGTATATGTTGTCTGTGAAAGTCATGGCTTTAGATTCTGTTCTCAAACTGAAGTGACTATCAGACTACTATTGTAAAGGAGGAATATATCAATCTTCATTTGCATCTCAGGAATTATTTTTTTTTCCTCTCTCATAGATTCTAGTTACACAAGGGACATCCTCACTTAATTGACAAGCATGATAAAGTCATTGATCTCATGTCTTATACTGGAACATTACATATTTTTCCTTCAGTGCACATTTTTAATTTCCACTGCCTCTAAGGGGAATTGTGTGCTTCTGAAATCAGACTATAGTAAATGTACATGAGCAGTTGTTATCAGACTGTGGTAATTAAAGAAGAAAGCAGAGATTAAAATTCTGGATCTAGAAAAGTGATACGTAATATCAGAGGACCTTGTGTGAAAAGCATTCAATTAATTTTTAGTGTGTAAAATACCCTTGAAAATTGTTCTTAATATCAAGTGGAAGCTTCGTAGATCCTTTAGTGTGCAACATATTCTTGCAAGAATTTCTGAGCTATTAGAAATCTTTTTTTCTGCTCTATGAAGTCTGCTTCTATTCAGTCGGTTTCAGTGTTTACAAGCTCATGTCTAATGTTAATAGCTGATCTTCTTTATTTATATTGACAGTAATTTCAGTTAATAGAAAACATGAACTACTCGGTGCATGCTCCTCAAGGGACTTCTGCAAGATCAGAAATCAGACTTTATTTAATCTGCTTGGCTGAGGGAGGGAGAGCACAACAGGAGTAGAGAAGCCAGAGTCTGACTGGGATCTGGGTCAGAGAGAGAACGCTGATAGGTATGAGGATGATTTTTCCTAACCATGGGTGCTTATCTAAACAAAACTCTGAACTATCTGAGTTTTTCCAAGCATTATTCACAGTGTGTTTATATCAGTTTTAGTGTGCTAGCTAGTAGCACATGAGTAGGGCGAGTGAATAGGGCAGCAGCAGCACTGCTTAAACACATCCTGGATAAAGTACTTCTCATAGCCAATAACAAGCCTGATTTAACTCAAGTGAAAGAATTGTCAGCTCTGCTGGCCTTAGGATTCCGATCCTACCCATTGTGTTTGCCATATATGGACAGATATCTTAGCCTGGAGAGGGTGTTTGCAAAGGCATTTTACCAATTTTACTGAATCCTCCTTCTATGCCCAGTTAGGTAAATAGATGCTTGAGCTGCGAGTGGATTGTTTCTAGTTAACATGGCCTGGCCATGGGTTGAGTCACAGTCTCACAGAATACAATGGGGAAAAATATTCTTTTTCTGACCTGGAACTGAATATTATTTTTTTCCCCTGCCAAACGCTACTTGAATATGACAACACAGCTTTTTCAAGGGTGTTTCATGACTTACTGGGCAATCAACATTCTGTCTTTGTACAAATAGCCATGTTACTTTCCAAGAGAGTATCGGTGTTTACCAAATTGCTATTCATTAAGTTTTTTTAACAGCAAAAATTATTTCTTCCTATAAGCTATAGCGCGAATCTCTCTAAAAACTTTAGAATAGCTAGGGAGTTCAAATGTGCTTTCTGAAGAACAGCATGTTACAGAGGAGGACAGGAGATGAAGTTTGGAAAGACCGGGATGATTTCTCATTTTTACTTACACTCTGGTCGTTGTCATCACTTTTCATGTGCTCTGCTATAAAACTGACTCCATCAATTGCTTCTTGAACTTCAGGAGAAAATTTTGTGCCTGTTCTTAACCTAAAATCTCGATGACTGCTGACATTGTCAAGAGTTTCAGTGATTTTCATATCATGTTTGTTGGCAGAGGCTGTATTCAAAAAATAGGTAGAGTTCTTGTAGAAGTTGGCTGGCTCCATACAAGGATTCTCTGCTTTTGTCTTTTTGCAATTGCACAGCTTTTGCCGTGGAGAATTATTTTCTGGGCGCTTCATGAACAGATAGGCTGGGAGTCTTTCAAGGAAAACCACCTTTACCCAAGGGGGCATAGTGTGAGTACTTGGAGATCTATGGTGGACATTCAGTACACAGACACTAGTAACTATTGAGAAGGTCACTAGTACCATTGTAAACATGAGATACTTTCCAATCAGTGGAACATCTAGAGATGTTGGAGGGACAATTTTGGAAATCAGCAGCAAGAACACAGTCAAGGCAAGCAACACAGATATGCATAAGGTCATTTTTTCCCCACAGTCTGAAGGCAAGTAGAACACCAGGATGGCTAAGGATGTAATTAGCACACAGGGAATGATAAGATTGATGGTATAAAAAAGTGGTTTCCTTTTAATAATGAAGTCATATGTCACATCAACGTAGTTGGGGTCCAAAGGATTTACAGTCCTTCTTCCTGGGAGTGCTACAATGTCCCACTCTCCACTTGGTGTAAAGTCGTCCATGCTTGCCATGGAGGTTTTAAGCACCATATCAATTTCTGTATGATCATATGTCCAAGACCGGAACTTTAACGTGCAGTTTTGCTGATCAAATGGGAAATGTTTCACTTCAATCTTGCAGGCACTCTTGTAAATGGCTGGTGGCAACCAGCGAATGCTTCCGTTATTCTTTACAATTGCATTTGTGTATAGTGAAACTTCGTATGTGCCATCCGCACTAATGAAACGAGAGGAAAGAAAAAGGAGAGAAGATAATAAAACATTAAGAGGAAGAATGTAGTTCAAAACAGAGGAACTCTGACATTCTTGGTCTTGTGGGCCTCAGTTATTTCTGGAATCAAAGTTTAGTAATATTTTGATTTTGAAATCTATGTTGTAAGGAGCTATGACTGGACAGGGAGATTAATGTATACATTTCTCCCAATCAGGGAATTGATATTTGGTCCAATACTTGCAAAAAGTATTTAATTAAATTATTATTAAATAATAAATATGCATATTTATTTCATCCAAATAACTCAAAGTATTTTGTAAATGTTTGTCAAAGTAATTAAGGCTTATTACATCTTTGAAGGCTGAGTAAAAATTAGGTTATCCAACATGAAAATGGAGGTACCTTTGATCTGGAACACAGCCACTACTAAGAGCACACAGCAACACTCCTAAATGACTTGGATGAGGAAATAAGGATGAGCAGTGTTAGTTAGAAATGCAGGGAGAGTGTAGGCAGAGGAAATGTGATTATATGGTTTATAATTTATTGTGTCACTCTAGCTAATGTTTACTTATTATAAAATCAGAATAGACAAGCCACAGTGTTCTTTGTGCCCACAGTAATCTTGGCTTTGTATCTCCCCCAACTGCTGAACTTCCACCAGGAGAGTCTCCTACATTATGATGGGCCCTTTAATTCAGGGGGAAGATCATCATCAGTCAGTAGTCAATATCTTCTTCTGTCCAGTGTTTCTGGGCAAACAACTCAAGGCTGTTTAATCTATGAAGTATCCTGAAGTAGAAATGTGAAGTGGTCAATTGCTGATAAATATTACTGAAATTTAGTGTTTCTGAGTGTATTCACTGCATCTTGTCAAGCGTGCCGTGCAATGGCTTTCAAACTCAGCAATTGAGCTACCAAAAGAAAGTGTAACAGTAGCAAGGAACAACTATTAGTGGCTCTCTTTCTTGACACATGAGGAAATTCAGAGGTTTGTGCCTATGTCGAGCAAGTGCTTTTATTAAAAACTGGGTTACCCACTTTGTTAGACTGCAAAGAAGAGACTGGACTAGATACATCCCACATGACTCCTTTTGATAAACAAATATATAGGTAAAGAAATGCACATAACCTAAACACAGTATGTTATGTGCAAAAATGTAAGATCAAACTCACTGCAAGTGAAACGAATGAAGTTCAACTGACTATAGTTAAGTAGCACCCTTATATTTGAGTGGAAATGTGGTCCTTAAGAGTTAATAAAAAGTCTAATGAATCACTTGTTGTTTGACAAATCCTAATGGAAAATAGAGCTATTTCGGTGCTAAGGTTCATTGTTTTGGTTTTTTTCTAAGCAGGGAAGTGCTACAAGTATCCAAGGTTTGGAACATGTGCAGCTGTTCTCCAGGTCAGTAACATTTGGCTCTGGAAAGGCCTCTCGTTGCAAATGCTGGTGCCTGGCACTGAGCTGAGACCCTGCTAGCGAATTCACATAGGCAGTGAAACAACCAGATGCAGAAGTGAGTGGTTACAGCATACATGGGTCATTAGTTCATTGCCAATAAAATTGCTATGTTTTAGTAAGGAACTTGTATCTTATATGTCTGTATCTCCCCAAGTTAGATTTATCCTTATGCTGTACAGAGGCTGGGCTGCTCGTGCTGTCTCAGTGCTCTCTGCAGTCTTGTGCACAGGCTACATATGGACAGAGCGGTGGGGTGTGCGGATGCTCTTTGTGTTTTCCTTAGCACCTTCTTGAACTGACTGATGCCTATGAAACACTGCTTCAGCAGCAGAAAGTGACAGGGGGTTATTCTTTCTCTAAAATTTTAATTTGCAGCTTTGTGCAAATGTAAAAATCTAATATGGTGAAGCTAAAAACTTGTTCCTGTACATTTAAGAAGCCTTCTAAAACTGTTTCTTTCCATTCTTACAGTCCATTGAACAGTATCATTTGGGGAGTAAGGAAGAAAGAAGTGGAGGGTGGGGACACAATTTACCAGAACAAGATTTGACCAGGCAAAGTACATCCTAATCCACTGGCTAAATTATTTTGTGACTAATACAATACTTTCAAGTATTTCTCAAATCTGATTTTCAGTATTAGGATTCCAGGGGCTTAACTCAGTTATATATAAACTTCCTAGGTTTCCCATCTGTGTATGTTCATAAACCGTCATGTGTTCATGAATTCATTGGTTTTCAAAGTATCATGAAAGTATATCATAAGTTTTGATCATTATTTTTGTCCCCAAAGACTTGATATCATCCACTTTAAGGCTTTGCTAGAGACTTAAAAGCAAAACAAAGCAAAATTGTTTGAAAGAACTGAAGTATAGTCTAGCACCAAGCTTTTAGTTTTCTCAGTACTGTAAAGCAACAGGGTCAAATGTTGACAGATTTATTATGTATTCTATGTATTCTTATAATTGATTTTTTAATGCTTTATGAAAATAGAACATAATTTGGTTTTATAAATTAATATTAACTCTTGGAGTTCTGGTACGTGTGAACTTTATAACAGATTTATGTCCTGGAGTCTGTGGTGGAAAGGGGGGTGGGGGGAGGGAAGAAGAAGTAGGAGACAAAAATGTAGCTCAGAACCTAAGATGTCTGATAGAATTCCAGATGTCTTGTCTTCTTGCAAACGTGACCAGTGTACAACTGCTCTTGTACTTACAATTCATGCTTTTCATATAGTCTAGTTTGATTATAGATCTGTGTCTTGATAGCGAGCCTTGTCATAGATCTTCTGGTGTTGTAACAGCTCGCACTGCAGACATGCTCCAGGTCTGCTGGAATTTCTTTAACCAGAGCCCTGATTTTACTAAAATTATCTCTGAGACCAGTACCCCAGTCAGACATACTTGGTAATGGCTAAAAGTTACAAAATTCAGTTTTAGAATTTTATCAGACCTACTTCATTGGTTCTGATGCTTGTTTCTTGATACATGGTTAAAATTTTGTTCACTGTCTGCATAAACTGCAGATATTTTACTTACTTATTGTAAAGCACAATGTCTGGCAACCAGATGTGTTTTGCAGGTATTCTCAGCTTATTTATTCCTTCATAGTCAGAGGGCTTCCAAGCCAAACGATAATCAATCCACTCCTAAGACAAGAATTGTACAGTAGTGATGGGAGTATCCAGACCAGCACTAACAAAACAGTCACTGTGATGGAGTGTAAGTAGTTGCATTTGTGGTTTGCAAGAGCATGCTTCTGTGGGTTTGGTTACCTGGTTCAGCCAGACATTTGTAGTCATGATCTGCTCCCGTTCATTCTGCAGGGAAAAAGAAAGAGAAAAGTTGTACTCTAAAATGTTTCACTTTATTGCAGTAATAAGGTTTGTTTGGTGGGCTTTTGAGGATATTTCCAACAGTGCAGCATGATTTCGTCTAGTGTATTTCAAGACAGGTGTTTCTCTGCTGGTAAGATGGCCAGTCTTGTGCACATACTAATGATGATAAGTGTAGAGCTCTGAGTGGCTTTTAACAAGGACAGTTGTGACTGAAGTGGGTGTGGGTGTTTGGGAACAATTACCACCATCCTGCCGAGCTGATTTCCACCACCACAACCACCACCCACCCTGTGGATTTGATTTGAAACAGAAGACACATTTGAAAACCAGGAAGGCCTAGACTAACTTGTGTGAGGTTTATTTAAGGTATGCCATGTAAGCTCTCGGCAGGCTCTGCTTCACGGAACTGGTGTCTCTCCCGAGTGCAGAAGAGCAATCTCTCTGCAGCAGATCTGTATGGCTGGGGCTCTACTGAAGTGACAAGGTAGGAGATCAAAGAGTCAGGAGGATTTCTGCAGGAAAACAAGTTAATTCTCCGATCCTAAAGATGCCTGAGATTGATAGAGCCTATAAGATGCCTAATTTTGCTTTCTGCTTGAAGAGTGAGGATACAGAGGGATAGAGACTGATGAGCTGTGCCATTCTAAATCCTTGCCCATTCATCTACTCTCTTCAGGTTGTTGGTCGCTGGGGTCTGTGGGGGCAAGACACCTCGGTTTTTATGCCCAGCATCTGCAATCTGGGAGGACAGTGTGCTAGCAGTGGCAGTGCACTGTGTGAGGAGGCATGTCTGTGTCCAGGTGGAATTTTCCAGGAGAGAGGGAGCACTTGTCCCAGAGTCATCTGGTATATGTGACAATATATCCTGTATAAATCAGCCTGCAAGTGCGTATGAAAACTCATCTGTTTGCACAGTTTCCCTTATGTTCCATCAGTATCTCTCTGCTTTCTTCTTGAATTTCAGAATGTAAATTATATAGGTCTCTTAAAGTTTGCAGCAGTCCAGTCACTGGCCCATACACAAATTCTGGCAGGGAGGCAGTCATCTGCATCCTCTTTTTCATACAAGGAGAGAGCAGCAGAGTTGAAAACCCTGGTTCAAGAAATTATTCCCACTTATGTGCTGGATCTTGTTCCTGCTGCAGTTAACGCTAAACCTCTCTTGTCATTGAGGTGTGTATTCGTACCTTGGAAGAACTGTTAAACACATGTTAACCTTGTGAGTGAAAATGTCTTTTAGACCCATTGAAGTAATTTTTATTGAATATGAAGAGTTGCTTACACGAGGATTGTTTTAACCATGTTAAGCTATTCTAGCCAGAACTAACGTGTCTTTTTCTTCACAACAGTTCACTGTTCTTTGCTGATATGCCTGATATGCCATGAGATTTTGAGCTGGCTTTGTAGCTTGTTTTCAGGCCATTCAACCACATTTCTTTGATGCAAGCACCAGAACATGGTTTAGCATTGTGTACATGGTCCAGGATAGATCCTGAGCTGGTGTAACTTGCTGTACCGAAAGCAGTGGAATGATTGTGATATTTTGATCAATGGAATTTTATTGGATGAAGATCTGGCCACTGTCTTTTATTACTTAGACATAGATTGATCTCCCTGTTGTAGCTGCATTCTGAAGTATAAAGCCAGTGAATCACATGTATAGGCCCTGCCTACTAAATATTATTATCTAAACCAAAAAATAACAGGGACATGATAATACCAATGTGGGTTTTACTTAAAGTGCTGTGCAGGTAGTAATGAATTAAACGGCATAGCCTAATTGGAACTTACCACGCTGATGAGCTGTGCCAGGGAAACCTGCAGTTCTATGGATACCAACTGGGATGAGTTGACAGCTGGTCGAATTAACTTATTGTACCTGTCAGGACTCAGTAGGTGGTTCATTAGCTTTTCTTCAGCGTCTGCTGCGGTGCTTCCTGTAAAACGTCACGTAACAGGATTATAGAAGGGAGACCAAGTGACATGATGTAGAGATCACAGAATTTCTGTGCATCAGATCATCTTCATGAAATAATGAGGACTTTTGATTTTCTAAAGACTATAGGCTTGTGTGAACAGAAAGATATGGTGCTTGCACCAATATCTGTTCTGCTGACTTTGATTGTCTTTCACAGAGCATAGATCAAAGCAGATAAATTGGAACCCTTTTTTTTTTCCCCCACAGTAAAATGTGAAGCTCAAATTGATAGATACTTTCAGGAGTACGTTTAGAAATAGAAACTGGGAGTAAACCATGCTCTTAATAACAGAGGAAGAACGTTTTGATGATCCAAAAGCAGGGAGTCTGGCTGTGACTTCTCTCTTTAGTGTAGTAGGAGACAGCTTTAATGTTGTAGTAGAGTTACAAGCACATGTACAAATTGAAAGACTCTGATCTGTGTAGGGAAAGGATGAACTCCAGGGATCGTAAGGGTTTTTTAATAATTGGGAGCTCCTTGGTAGCTAGTGATGTTTCTGTTTCAGAACGATTTTATTTGAAAACCTGAGGCAATATGTAAGCCTTATTTTATGTGGACACAAACCCCAATTTATGGACTAGAACAAATACCGTAAATCTGAGATGGCCAAAGCTGGAGTTCAGTGACTGCAAAATATAGTATCTGCAGGATACTATCAAAGAAGTATGAATATTCTCCGTGGAGTAGAACAGTTTATGGCAGAGCCCCAGAGGTAACTGCATCTGTTCCCATGTCCTTGCATGTGCCTTTTAAAGCTGTTCTAGTGGACTTTTCAAACCACTATTGACCACATAATAATACTGATAACTGAGGTCCTGGTAACGTCCTGCCAACAGAATTGACCCAGAGAGATTCTGTTGTATGTTGAGTAATTCTGTTTTGGGTTATACAGCTGACGGTGATGGACACAGGTGTTAATGAAAACAGATTCTAATGCAAGTGATAGAATGATTCTTCCACAGGAAAGGGCATCTAACTCAACCGTAGATATTGCAGGAATGAGGATAGTGTCTCTACAGCATATTTGCTTCATTTTTCCCCAGAGCAGTTCCACACAGTAAAAAACCACTGGCCATGCAAGTATTTTAAATTTGTGGTATATTAATTTGTTCTGTGTTTTTATGTTGTAGCATATCCATGAGATCCAGAGAAAGGCAGACATCAAAAGGCCAGGATCACAAAGGCAGCCAAAGTTTGTGTACATTTCTAGAAGGTGCCTAGATCCCATGTAACTGGGCTGTAAGTTGCTAGGAGGAACAAGTCTCTCTTGAAACTTGGTACTTCTGAATTCTACTCAGATTAAAAAAATACTATAAGAACTTCTTGTTTCTGATGCAGTAAAAAAGTGGAGAGATGTAAAAGGAAACCTAACTGAACAGATTTTTCTCATCTAAGAACAGCTTTTACTCAAGCTCTGGGGAAAGGTTGAGATAAATATCAGGCTTGTTTTAATTCTTTTAAGACCGTCATATGCTATGGCATTGTTAGCACAAATTTTGTCACTTATGCTTAACCATAACATTGATCTTCAGAATAGGCTTCTCAAATATTTCCCAAGCCATTTGCAAAAACAAATTTGGATGAATACATCTACTTGTGGGGTCAGTTTGTTTTTTTGACTCACTCTTGCTTTGTACCTCCCTGCAAGTCATTATAAAATCCTAGTATAATGTGATATTTTAATATTATATTTATTCTCAATGTAAGCCTGCCTAATCAAAGGCTTAACAAGCTAGAGCTATGCTGGTCCTTGCTGAGCTCCAGATGCTGTTTTTTCTTGTATATTGCAATCAAGATAGAGCTAAATTTGACACTGTAAAGAAAATGGGGCTGGACTCTAGGAATCAATTGATCTGTGTTTATTAGGATAGGTGAGAAGCCTTGTGGTAGCTAGAAAGAGAGTCTTGGTTAAATGTATTTTATTGTGTTGTTTTGAGTTTGTGGGGGTTTTTTTAAACAAATATTCCCGCTGTGCATATGTAAGTGACATAAGCAGATGGCTATAATTCAAATATAAATAAATAAATTGTGATTTGGTTTGTTTCATACAGCGGCCACTAAATGCTGCCAGCAAACACAGTGAAGTCTTGTTTGAATTGTTAAGTAAGTTTTCACTGTGTTGCCATCTTCTTCTATAAATATTCTAGCATGTGGAGTATTTGCTAAACAGGAAGTAAGAAGTAGAAACTGCAGAACATTTGCAGAAAGCTAATTCTGAATTTGTAGTAATCCTATTCTCTGAAACCTGGTTTTAGTAATCACGGTTGTCTGGTCTGCAAATCAAAACATATTGCGGGATCTGCATATCTGATGAGAACAGCTCGGATTTCAAAGTACTGACTGTCAATAAAATTTATGCAGATGAATGGCAGGCTATGACTTAATTATAGAAAGTGATTTGTTAAATAATTAATCCCTTTAAGAACTTATTATCTGTTCTTAGGGAAGGGGTTCCTGTAATGAATAATCCTCATAAAAATGCCATCCCATCCCAACCTTTAAATAACTTAATAATCAGAAATAAAGATTGCAGGGGCTACTCTCTCAACTCACGCAGATGCCTGTATCAAATACCACTAGATGTCAGCAGTGCACTGCCTTAAAGGTTGTTAAGCCAGTCTCTCTGTAAATACCGTGTAAAAAAAGGAGTGATTCTAGTATAATTTTTATGATCTATTTTCCATTACCAATTTACATATTAACCAGATGAAACCTAATGAGAACAAAATTACCAGGCATTCAAGTTCATCTTTATATGCATTTCAGGATATCAGTAGCCAGGCATTTGAAACTCCTCTTTTTTCCTCTCAGAGTTGGAAGAAATTGAAAGTGCACAATTTCCCTTGCAAACTGGTTTTTTCCAAATAGCAGTAATCACCAGAAATGTTGCAGATGGTAGACTGATGCTTTTAGACAAATGATTTTAACAAGAGTGATGAAGCACTCCTAATTTTGGGGATGGAGTGGGTTTGTGTACTGAAAGCCATGATAGAGAAAACACATCGGGGTGAATCCTGAGCTAGGAAAATTGTTTTAGCTTCACTGAACACACTACACATCTGCTCCATGACAAGGAGAGCAAATTGCCATGTAACTTGCAGTACACATTCTCCAGTAAGTTTGGTTTCTCTGCACGAGTATGACTGTTAAAAAAAAAATTGCATCAGAATGCTTCCAATTTCACAACAGAAGAAACAAAACCACAGACTTCATTCACTCCCCTGTGCAAACTTTCCCTTTTACATGGTCTAATTTAAACATATAAAATGAAATAGCTAGTCATCCTGTGTTACATTGTTTATTTTCAGTGTAAAGACAAATATGGTGGAGTGATTTCCACAGAACAGAATAAAGAGCAATGTGACAAATACAGGTAAGTGCACTGTTATCACTGTCTAAATTGCAAAATTTAACATAAGGCATGTTTCCTCCATTTCCCTGACTTCAGTTATTGTAATAAAAGTTGAAATAGCGTTTGTTTAGAAATAATATATTCTAGCATATGTTGTCATTTTTGTTCTTTCATCTCTCACAGATAACTTATATGGACAATGTTGAAATACCAAATTCCCATCTGTAAGTAGTAAAGAGCAAGCGAGAAGCAGCAATAAGACAATTTTATTATCTTCTCTGAAATTACTTGATGATGTTGTTACTTCTTTGCATACTCTTGAGTAAAAACCTTAAGTATTTATATAACCTCTTAGAACAACACATGCTAATTTGGAACACTTATTGTTCCAATGGAGTAGTGAATTTACTGTATTTGAAAGACTATTTTAATTTCTATGCTGCAATTAATGCAAATAACAAAGAAATACTAGTGAGTTTAAAAGTGTGTAATCTAAGAATCTAAAGTAGGCCCTCACTCTTCATTTGTTACAAAGCATATGTTCTCCAAAGTTGCCTTTCAGTGATTGAAGAAACAAAACAACTGTGGGATGAATAAGTAATTATGGGAAAGGTGTGATTTTTGTCTCCGTTGAGTTTGAGCCAGTTTCACTCTGAACACTTCAGTGGAGTCTGTGGGAAAAAGCTCCCATGGTAAATGGACTATTTCATGCTGCTGTCGGGCTGTGCGTGTTGGCTAAAACATATGCAAGAAATCCTAGAGGACTAAAGAAAATGTTCTTGATATATTTCCTTTTTTTTTTTTAGCAAATATTTACGTATTTCAACTGAATTTAAACTATATACATACTAATCAAAAAATTAGGAAGTATGAGCTTTGCAAAATATATGAACTTGAGCCAATAATTGTAGAGAGATGAGATCTGTCTTATTTATGGTTCATGTCATGGTTCATTTTTTATTTTTTCACTCTCAGCACAATACCTGCTTTTCCCATCACAGATGATCCTGGGACCATCTGAAGGGATACTATTTAGTGATTATCATTGTCATCTCTTACTGTTCTGTCATTTTATGTCCAACTTACTGTCTGTCCATATCCATTGTAGTGGATTTGCTGATACCGAACAAGCCAGAAACAACACTAAAATAATCAATTTCATGCGTCCTCTTAAAGTCTGTAACCTACTGAAGTGATAGTTAAAAATTGTCTGAGACCTTATATCACAGTACTGCCTCCTACCCCCCCGAAAGCTATCGCTGTTCTGCAAACTGTATCTCAAAGAAAAGATCACTTACCGTTAAAATAAAAGGAGCCCACTACAAAGAGAAAGAGGGCGTACATATTCCTCATTGCAATAACAAGAAGAGGTGGATAACTGTTCTTCAATTAAGACAGCTGGCAATAGGCTCTGTTGTCAGGGATGCACAAGGAAGAGATGTAAAAGCAAACCTGAATCTTGGAGGTATTAAATGCCTGGAAAGAGACAGACAGTAGGACCTGGCAGAAGCATTCTGCAAAGTGGAGTTTTCGTGAGCATAGTGGTCCCTCCCCCTTTGCAGCTGTTTAAAGAGCTTTGTGAAGGGGAAAAGCACATAAGAAGAGGGAACATAATGTGATAATGTTGAATAAGAGGAAATGAAAGAGCAAGCTAAGGAACATGATCTGCAAAATACAACTGCTTAATTCTTGCTACTAGATAATATTTAGAAGGCTTTCTGGTTAATAAGTGCAATGGGTGGGAATAGCTGTGTGGGAAGAGCTGGCTATAACTTTGTGCCGTAAGACCTGTTAGCAAAAGACAAGTCAATAAATCATAGTCCTATCAGAGGGTAATTTTCTGGGTCTAGAGAAGAAGTTGATTGCCTACTGCCAACCCTTTTCCACTCCAAAGCCTACACATGTGATCTCTCAAAGCAGAACTCCAAAAGGCTTTTTGGGAGCCGCAGGAGGGGAACAGAGAATTTGTGTCATTAGCATTTGACAGGATTTTTAAAAGAAAGCTAAAGCAGCCTGTTGAGAAATAGCAATAGCTATAAAGGCACTCCAGAGAAGCATTAGAGAAATTCTATGGAAGTCATCTTTTACAGCTGAAGGGTTCAGCGGAATATAAAGTATCATGTGTTTTGGGACTTGCCATGGGAAGGTTTGTGTAGAAGGAAGGAGAAAGAAGATCTTAGATGCCCTTTGCAAGCACAGTAAGACAGGCTGAAGTCCCTGGATAGAAAAAAAATATTCTAAATACTGTTTTATCTCCATATTGAGGTTACTCCTTACTTCAGTTGGCCACAGAATGCAGTTTTGCTCTTGTCTCATCTCCCAACAGTCTAAGACCATTGGCTGGGATGGAGGCATT